TCACAATATTACTGTTTTTACTGTATTTTTTAATCAAATAAATGCAGCCTTGGTGAACATAAGACACTTCTTTTAAAACTTGACTGACCCAAACTTTTGAACAGTAGTATGTATATTATTACAGTGTGCAACATGTTCTCGATACGTTTTGGGAGATTCACCCATCTGCAATAAGAGCGAACAATGTTTAGTCACGTCTGTACCGGGCAGCTCTGCCTGCTCTATTGTGCCTGCTTCATGCTTTAAAAATACACCAGCAATCTCATCGGGATAAAACAGTCGACGATTGTTCCTGGGAGATTCCTGCTCTTGTCTCTACCTTAACCGAGTCGGATTTGCGAGACAGGGCCATAAGCTCCTGACAGCGGTGAGCAGCTTTCTTTGTAGTCCTGTAACAATGCCTAAAGCGATACGGTAGGTATGTCACAGATACATCATGTGACGCCAAAAACCACATGGCCACCTGCTCGCTTGACAGAATGCAAAGCGGCTCAGCCGACTTCATCCAGCAGGCTTTTCGGGTCCCTGCTGATGTTGTGGTCGCACCATATCCTGCCAGCTTTACTAGGTCTCCACTGGTGCACATGTATGGATCTGAGGGCTTACAGGAGATGATTTGGATCTCAGATGTTTGGATCCTGAGATTCTGGAAGGGTGATAAACAAGAGCGTGAGCCTATACGTCCATTTCGTTCATAAATATACAAAAAGACATGCATAATTGTAATTCCTTAGAGGTCTAAGCTGGACTAATGGATTGCAGGCACTGTGCGTCACTAATGGCTGAACTCTCGTTCATGTGTGTTCTTACCAAAGGTCCATAAAGACGAAGAAAACGACAGCAGATCCGGTCGACTCCTCGGGCCAGCTGAGAGGCATGTGGGGCCATGTTTCATTGATTTTCCTCGCTTTAATGGATTTCATTGGGCCCTCTCATGATTCCACATTAATATTTCATTACTTGTGTCTTCCATTTCCTGCGCTATATCAGCAGCAGGCTAGCTTACAGTGAAGTGCTTTGGGTCGATGGACTGCTACCAGGAACCAGCCAAATCCCTGAAACACCCGATCCTCGTCTAGACCCAAGAGACCAAACTCGTGATTCGAAACAACAAAAAGGGCAAAAAAAGAATTGGGTGAAGACATTAGCCAACAGCGTACGAAAACAACCCTGATCAACAATGGGACTCACATGCCCGTGCTTGTGAATAAATAACCTTGTGTGGTACCTTCTTCATGTGAATATTTGAAAATCTGTACTGAGCAAGGTTACTTTGTTGGTATGAATTGGTTTTTCTGTCAAACGATCCCTGCTGCTCCTGAAAACTATATGTGTCCTTTTTAGATAGGAAAATCAACAACGCAGTTGCGTTTAATATTATATTATTGGGTTGAGGTGAATTGCGGACGGTAATGTATTTGAGTGCAATAGCGCAAACTAAAGCGATCAGACATATACAGGTTATGAGATGCTTTTCTTAAAAATCCTTTCAAGTGCTGCTTCAAAGGATCCATCAATGTCAGTAAAGTAAAAAAATTAAATAAAACAGCAAAATGCTGAAAATTGAGTTAAACTAAAACACCTTAAAAAATTAAGAGCTTTAAAAAAGGTTAAAAGACATCTTATGCATGTTTAATTTGGATAACTGGAATGAGAATTTCAGAATTATTCATAAAAACATTACAACTATTTAAGCTTACATTAACATCTATCATTCACCTTTAACCAGTAATATGTCATAATGAAAACTAAGATAACATTTTGGACATAATCATTAAAATACTAATATATATATATATATATATGCTGAAATTATCACATATGCAAGTTAATGCGTGTATGTGAATTGGTAGCGAAATCGGTGTAATATTTAATATTTAAATGTAGATTACCTTACTGTCCTGCTTACCATTAAATATTTGATAGCTTCAGATGTATTGTGAATTTAAAATACATTTGTTAGATTTACAAGACACCCTATTTGCCTCAATAAGACATTTGACTGGTTATCATTAAGTCATAATCATACTTCAAGCCAAAATCGTAACAGCTAAGAGTCAAATATAAATAGACTCCGGTCACCACATATTAACTCAAAGTTCACTTATCACAGTTCTCCAACAGCAGATATCAGCGGACTGCTCAGATTACACCACCTGCTTACCATTAAATATTTGATAACTTCAGATGTATTGTGAATTTAAAATACATTTGTTAGATTTACAAGACACCCTATTTGCCTCAAGACATTTGACTGATTATCATTAAGTCATAATCATACTTCAAGCCAAAATCGTAACAGCTAAGAGTCAAATATAAATAGACTCCGGTCACCACATATTAACTCAAAGTTCACTTATCACAGTTCTCCAACAGCAGATATCAGCGGACTGCTCAGATTACACCAGTTGTTGACAAGTACGAACACAAAAACCTGTATAAATGGCCAATTTCTAGGAATTGCCCATCACCTTGAAAGCAGGCGGTCCAGTCAATTAAGTAACTCTAAAGCCTTTCTGCACAGATAGTTGGTCAGCAGTAAAGCGTTGGGAGATCTGTCAGGATTCGACAGACAGGACTGCTGTGGCTTGATCAGTTTCGATTCTCTCATTCAGACATTGAGAAATGTGCTAATTAAGTGTTAGTCTGAAGAACAATGCGTTATAAATAATTAACACGTTTCTGAAAACAATAATGCTGGTTAATTTTCCAGCATCATGTAGATCTATATTAAACAGCATAAATAAATACCACAAACAACCTAATTTACATACTGGCATAGGGTGAAACTAAATGAAGACTGCATTCACGTCGGTTAAATGCAGCAACAATGTCTCAGCAAGCGTTTAATATGCACTGCACTGACTGTTTTCCCTCAAGCAACTTCCCACTTGCACAGCGTCGAGTTAAGGTTGTTTTTCTTTGACTACACTGCCACCTAGTGGTTATTCTAAGCTACTTCACAGTCAAGCCTCATTTGAACTCTGGAATCTTTTTTTTTTTTTTTTTTTTAAAGATGGATGTGGTTGCCTGGTTACCACTTTAACCTTCAACTTGTTTTGTAGGGAGGACTGAGAGGGAAAGGTAACTATGGAGACAATTTATGCTCAGCAATACGAAATCATGACATTGATTTGAACACTGAATGCAGTTTGGCAAATAATGATGGAGGTATATCAGGTAAACAAGCACATGTAATGTTGACTTTTTTTATATGCCATACATGTTTCGCATACAGACAGAAAAAAAGACTTCTAGAAAAGTATTACAAAAAAGGAGTGATAACAGCGGGTAAAACAACAACATGATTAAAAATAAACAATGAATAATTACTGTTCAGTGCAAAGGGTTGTAGTGTTGGCGAGTGGACTTTTAAACCCCATCAAGTAAAATCTGAAAATAACACTTGTTTCAGGTTCATACGTTATTATGAGTTTCAAATCACTGGATATTTTTGAAAACCTTTAGAATAGCACTTGTTTCAAACGTGTTGGCTCAATGGGTTACAATGATTTAGCAAATAGTCATTCCAGTGGAGGGCAGTCGAAAAACAGCGGAGGCTTAAAATGACATTCCTGCGTACAAACAAACAGTCACGCAAGCTTAAACCATAGTGTTCGTAACGTTTACAAACATTAGTGCGTCTGGATAGGTACAGTACTCGTTCAGTAAGTTAGGTATGGTCACATGACCTTTCTGTTAGTGCTGCAGGTGCATATTTATAACAATATACAATAAAAATGCAGTGGCCTCAAAGACTAACTTCATTTTTTCTAGCTTACCTGATGTTACATGGTTAAAGAGGTAGATGCCGTCAGTCATGACACAAACGCCTCACCTGAACTGAACATACTGCCATGTCAAGTACGGTTTTATTTCTGAAAAACAAAATAAAACATCTAGGGTTTGTGAAACGGACAGCGGATGTAATATGGGAGGGAAGAACGGTTACTGAATGCGTTACGGAGTAAAAAGCCACTAATAAATTATTATACATGAAAAACAGCGGAGGCTTAAAATGACATTCCTGCGTACAAACAAACAAACAGTCACGCAAGCTTAAACCATAGTGTTCGTAATGTTTACAAACATTAGTGCGTCTGGATAGGTACAGTACTCGTTCAGTAAGTTAGGTATGGTCACATGACCTTTCTGTTAGTGCTGCAGGTGCATATTTATAACAATATACAATAAAAATGCAGTGGCCTCAAAGACTAACTTCATTTTTTCTAGCTTACCTGATGTTACATGGTTAAAGAGGTAGATGCCGTCAGTCATGACACAAACGCCTCACCTGAACTGAACATACTGCCATGTCAAGTACGGTTTTATTTCTGAAAAACAAAATAAAACATCTACGGTTTGTGAAACGGACAGCGGATGTAATATGGGAGGGAAGAACGGTTACTGAATGCGTTACGGAGTAAAAAGCCACTAATAAATTATTATACATGAATTCCGGACAAACAGACCTTAATGATGAAACGAGTGTAAAAACAGTTTTAGAGTGAATTGAATGCGACACTTCAATGATGAATGGATTTGTGAAAAAATTCACACAAATTTGAGTTTTAAAAATGAGGCCCAGTACATTTTACGTCCATTATAGTGAACCACTGGAAGGAGACATCAGTCAAATTGCTTGTGCATGCAATAATATAAAACATTTTAAATAGAATAAAATGGAAAGTTTTTAACACTTCTGAAAGAAATTTAAAACCCCTTGACGGAAAACTCGTTGGCAAGTTTATAAAACAACTTTTCTGGGGATGCTATATAATTCCCAAAACGTTTTAAGGAAACGCTGATCAAGTGGACTGTGTGAGAGTATTAAAGTAAAAAGGTACATCTATCCTAAAATCATAAAAGGCATAAAATCTGTTTGGAACGTTCTAGAGTTGGAACTGAAGTGTTAAGGTGAGTCTCTAACAACCACGATAACCAGGTGCTCCTCCTCAAGTTTCCCAAGAGTTTTCAGAGCAGCCTGGAGATACTGCTGCGAGAAGTCACATGGAGGGAAGGCGTACAACATGCCACCCATCTCTCGTTCTTTGGGGCCGCCGAGGGGCAAGCCGATGACCCCTGCTGCCTGCTTGTTCCTGAGGTACGTCACCAGGTTGCGGAGAAGGCGCTGTTGAAGGCCCGGTTCTGGAAGAGGGGCATCTCGGTCCATGGGCCCCTGGACGGCGAGGAGGACAGCGTAGCCGTCCGGGCTGCCTATCTTGATGCGCCGCGTCACCTCGTCTAGTTTGGGCTGATCCAACCTCAGCCGCTGAGCGATTTTAAGCTGTGTGATCTTGGAACCGCCTGCTTGGTTGTCTCTCATGAGGGCATGGAGAAAGTTCACGCCTCCCTCGAGCATGTGCATGTTTGTGGGGAAGCAGCTGTTTTTAAGAACGAGAGAACCGTGCCACACGCGACTCAAGGTCTGGGCATATTCGGAGAGCGTGCTGGGCTTTTTGGAGTCCGTTTTGGACTTGTCTGTCTGCGAGTCAGGGTCGCTCGCGTTTTTGCGGTGATTGCGATCACGCTCGTCCTTTCTTGGATGTAAAGGTTCGTCCTGCGCAGGACGTTCGTCGCTGGAGTGTCTGCTGATGTCAGGAGTGTGATCAAGAGGTTCTGAGGTGGAGTCCGGGAGACGGCCGCAGCCCCTGTCCGGGCTGTCTTCGGGAGTAGACGGCGCCCCGCCTCTGAGCTTTGACCTCCCGCGTTCCTCTGCCGGACGGTCGATGGGACTGAGGCTCCTTCGCTTGCGCTGCTCCTCCCAGTTTTTCCCGCGTTCTAGCTCTCGCTCCTTTACCCAGCGCTCCCTGCTGCGGCTACGACTGCGCTGCCTGACCCGCCCAAACGCCTCCGGAGGGTTTGCTCGCCGCTCAAGTCCTTTCGGCGGACTCCAGTCCCGGTCCGAAAGGCGCTCTCTTTCTCGCTCCGCGGACAGGGGGTGTGACGGTGACCGAGCCCTCGCTCTCAGTTCTCTCTCTAGGCTGTGGTGGCGTCCGTAACCATCAGCTAGAAGTTCGTAATGTGGAGGCGGGAGCAAAGGCGGCTGGTATTGTTGAGGGTACGCCCTCGTCTCCTCAGCTTTAGCAAAATCCACACGCAGCCGACGATTCGGACCGCCTAGAGGGAAGCCGCGCATTTGTGCGCAAGCAGCCTGCGCTGCATCCAGACTCTCGTAATGAATGTAAGCAAAATTATCTCCTTTCACGTAGTCTATAGTGCGAATACTCCCAAAGCGATCAAACTCGCGGGCTAAAGCTGCCAGCGAGGTATTCGGGCCAAGTCCGCCCACCCAGAGCCGAGTCGTCGGGTTGACCTTCCCGTATCCGATCTTAATCGGGTTGCCGTTAATCATACGTCCCTGCATGGCCACTTTGGCCCGGTGAGCCATATCCAAGTTTTGAAATTTAAGAAAAGCATCTCGCGTCGCGCTCGGCCTGCCGCTTCATTTTACAGTGATGCTCCCGCTGCAAAAATATCAAATCAGCTCCGAGGTGAAATCTCACGGCTCCAAGAGATTTTGCACATCCGTGAGGAGAGTCTTAACTAACGTTTGCACGGAAAAACGTTCGCCTGAATGTTGAATTTCACGGATAAAAATAAAACGACAAACATTAGCGTCCCCTCAGCTGCATCTATTCCGCCATCTTGGACAAAAGGAATGTGCGCGCTCCACGAGTGGGAGGAGACACTGCTGACGTCAGAACGCATCGCGCGACGCTATTATAGTTGTGGGAAATAAATTTTTTATTTATTTTATTTTATTTATTTTTTAGTTCCATTACATACAAGGCAAATATAAGACATTGTTGTACAGTTTAAAGCATGTAAAACAGAATAGCAACAACAAAAAACATAAAAAGAACATAAACATAAAAAAAGAAACACTAGGGAAAAAAGTGCTATATAATATTAGGGCAGTTACATAAATTTGAAAAGTTTTATTGTTTTTATAAGCTTCTTATTTTGCGATCTCATATCAGAAAGCGTTTTTCAAAATATATTTTAAGATCAGTGTTACAAAAGGTAATATATGATGGTTTCTTTTGAATTATTTTTGACTTATGAATATAAAACACTGCTAAAATAATTAACAGATTAATATTGTAATTTAGTTTTTTTTTTTCAGGACAATATGGGTTTTGAAAACAAAGTAAAATATCATGAGGTTCTAAATTAAGGGCTTTGTTTAATGTTTTTGTTATGTCTATTTTAAATCAACCCAAATTGAAATAAAAAAAGGGCAATAGAAAAATTTAAGAAAAGCATACGCGCCCCCTTGTCCACGGGCGGGCCGCTTGATAACGACCTCCTCAATAATCCCATACTTGTCGAATCCTTGTCGTAGTTCCACCTCAGAAATATTATGATCCAAGTTGCCGATGAACAAATTCCTTGTGGCTCTCTGATCATCTTCTGGTTTTAAGTTCTCCTCAGGAACCTGATACACATACGCACGGCTTCTCTCCTCCAAAGCGCTGTAATAGTCCAAAACACGATCCCTGCTGAGTCCCATACCATCAATGTAATGCCTGGGTCTCATATCTCGAAGGGCACTACTCCCAGCACCCGGTGAAAGTGACCGCTGCCTGTAAGTGTAGGCAGCACTGTGGAGAGACACATAACTCACATCTGGAGGCGTGACACTGCGACGCCGCATGTACATGGGCTCAACTTTGAGTGGACGATCATATAGCACCAATCTGGTTTTGGCATGACGCGCTTCCCGCGCGTTTTCCGCGTGTCTGAAGTTGACGTAGGCAACGCGCCCCAGTTCTGGCGTGTGAGACAGCTTGACGCTCACATCCCCGAACTTTTTAAACTCATGAAACAGTCCGTCCTCTACATGTTCATCAGAAAGCTGCGATCCAAGGTTGCTGATAAGTAGTGTCTTGTATTCTAGTCGTGCACCCACCGTGTCTGCGGGTGGGGTCTTACCTTTAGGCAGGACTGAGGTGGTTCGGAGAGGGGCTCGACCCAGCAGACCCAGTTCATGATGCGGGCGGTGATGCAGACTCTCTCTCTCCTCACGGACGCGCGGTTTTTCCCGCTCTCGGCTGCGGCTTCGTTTGTGATAGTTTCGGCTCTCGGCGAGCAGCAGCGCGAGCGGCGGGTTCGGTTCGCGCTCTCGGTCCCGCTCGCGGACGCGTTTGGCGAGCGTTCTGGACGGACTCGCGTCGCGCTCGGCCTGCCGCTTCATTTTACAGTGATGCTCCCGCCGCAAAAAAATATAAAATCAGCTCAGAGGTGAAATCTCACGGCTCCGGGAGATTTTGCACATCCGTGAGGAGGGTCTTAACTAACGTCTGCACGGGAAAACGTTCGCCTGGATGTTGAATTTCGCAGATAAACATAAAACAGCAAACATTAGCGTCCCCTCAGCTACATCTATTCCGCCATCTTGGACAAAAGGAATGTGCGCGCTCCGCGAGTGGGAGGAGACTACTGACGTCGGAACATATCGCGTGACGTTATAGTTGTGGAAAATCAACATTGACAATAAAAATTAAGTTCTAAGAGCGAAATGTATCATTCGTTTCATAAGAATTAGTTTGAAATGGATTACTATCCTACTGCACAATACTATTTGTTTAAATTATATGTGAAATAAGAAAAAGGGCAATAGAAAAATAAATGTTCAATATCTTCAACTGATATGTTAGAAAAGGTACATTTTTCACAAACACTATGAATATATCTGCTAACAGCTGCATTTACAGGATAACATCTGTGAATAATGTGGAAAAATCAATATTGACACTAAAAAAAATGAAGTTCTAAGAGCGAAATGTATATACTCTTTTCATAAGAATCAAATTCTGCAGTTCTCATTCACAACAAGCTGAGAAAAACAGCTTTGTTTGGAATGGATTACTATCCTACTGCATAATAGGATGGTATTCGTTTAAATTATGTGAAATTAAATTATGTAAAATAATAAACATATTTTTTCAAATGTAGTAGGTTCTCTATGAATACAGAAAATGCACATAT